CAGCTTGCACTGTATGCTTCCCGGGAAGTTCAAGGTGTTCTCAGAATGCTATCAGGTTTGCGGGGGTAATAATAAATTGTCGCTTTTAAAGACGAGCGGGCTAACCCAGATTTCGATGATTATCTTGACCAACACCAAAAGTGGGCATTGCCCTATCTATAGGAGAAGTTTGGTTTCATTGGTGTGTATATTTGTTTGGTTACAGAGAAAACTTTTCTTGTCTTTTAAAGAAACTGAACAAGGGGCAAAAACGTTACCTTCGATTTTCTCAAAACAGCATTGTTCGGGATAGCCCCCTTGTGCTTAAAAGCGACCAAATATTGTATGGTGCAGAGAGCTTGCTGTTGAGTGAGGATTTGCTCTATAGTATAATGCAAATGTTTTATAAATTCTGTTATCATCAACAAATCACTGGGACACCTTTAGATCCAGACCTTGACACCTGAAGCAGTCACAAACTTGAAGGCTCCTTCCGATTGGCCAATTGTACAAGAGTGGCCTCGCTTTGGGCAGACTCTCGTATGTAACTGGGTCAAAGGTCAAGGGGATGTCCCGCCACTGGGAGACGCAGATGTGACTTCTGTCTGTCTTGCAGGATAAGATGTCCTTGACCCTCTGTGGCAGACCTGGGGATGGGTACAGACAACATGTTAGGGGCCGTATTAACCCTATCCGTACACCCTGGGGTCATTTTGTACCCCCGGGGTTGTATTCTTCTCAGTTCAGAATACTCCTAGTACGAAGATCTCTTTGAAAGTTTCAGTATTTCTCAAAAAATCATTTTGACAGACTGCTATGCAAACCGTACTGATCGGAGTAACGAGTAAATTTCCTCTTAGGAAAGTGGTGGCACAGAGTTCCCCACGTCGTATGGGCCATCAGCATCATCCGGTGCCTTGCCGACAGGCATGGACGATCATGGACCTCCACTTCACTCTGTCTTGCGTTGCAGCAATGGTGTCTGTTGTTCTTGTATGTATACGATAGTAAAACACACGTACGGATGGGGTTAAGCCAGGATATTTTTCTTGTTTGTATGTGTTTTACTGCGTTTGAAATATGGTGCTACCATAGAATGGCCAGAATAAGTTGGAAAGCAAAAAAAAAGACAAACAAAGAGGTGTGTCAGATTCTCCATTAACCTGTCCAGCACTCACCTGTGCCTTCAATCCTCTTGGCTCGGCCTTTTCGGGGATGGACGTTAAACTCAGAGGTCCCGCCTCTTAAATAACCTAACAGTGTTGATAAGGGCGTTAAACTTATACCATTTCACCATTTCTCCCTTCAATTGTGAAAAGAGTATGGCACCGCACTCCCTCGTGTATATATGTATGATCATTTGTGAACTTGTGTTGCAAGTGCCGTAAAACTCTTTTACTTAACTAAACGACATTCTCCAGCGCTCACTTGTTCCTCCTATCCTCCTGTCTATGTACAAGGGAGAGAACGTTTTCTCAAATAGTTGGTTGTTACTGAAACTCCCTTTTGTGAAAAGAGTATGGTACCACACTCCGTCGTATTTATATGTACATATGTAAATCTATATAATATGATCATTTGTGTTGCAAGTGCCGTAAAACTCTTTTACTTAATCAAACGAACTTCTCCAGCACTCACCTGTCCCTCCTATCCTCCTGTCTCTGGACAAGGGAGAGAAGCCCACACTCCTCGACACGGCCAGAAGGCTGAGAGTGACCAGCGGCCAGGGCTGACTGTACATTCCCTCAAACGCCGCCCTCCCCTCCCCTCCCTGGGTCTGGAGGCGGTTCACGACCCCGCGGGTGTCCGCTCGCGTCACTTCCCGCCTACAGAACGCCATGTTGACGAACAGATACTTGGCCATGCCGAGATTCCCGGACTCCAAAGCGCGCGGTAGTGAAGGAAGTGACGACGTCCTTGATCTATTTCCTGCGTCTGCGAGGTAGCCGTGGGGCGGGGTTAGAAGAAAGTGGGCGTGTCGTCGATCCCTCCTGGGGGTTCGTGTGTTTGTTGTGACGTCATGTCGTGTTGAGACGTGCCTCGTAGACCGAGACGTAAGCGTAGACGTAGACGCAGGAGTAGGCGTAGGCGCAGACGTAGATGTAGTCTGTGGCTCTACACAGCTGTTGTTTCGACGCGAGTTATGGGAGAGTAGATGTTGAGTAGTTGCGCCCTTGTTCTCTTCGTCTACTTCTTTCTCCGCGTTGCCATCATCATCATCATCATCATCATCATCATCATCATCATCATCATCATCATCACCATCATCAACATCATCGCCATAAATGTGGTCCACGAGAAGTACAGAGCTCTGGGTAAAGATCTGGACCAGGAGGTCACTACTGGCTCTCCTCAGCCTGTCCAAGGCGATGTTCAAAATGGCGGGCTGTCTCTCCCGATGCTGGTGACAGAACAAACACAAACAAAAGTCAAAGTCCCCGTTTTAAGTGGGGGGGGGGGGGGGTACCGTGAGACTAGTGAGAGAGAAAGAGGATTACTATAGGAGCTGTGCGCTTCATATGTTATTTGTATTATTGTACAGCGCATTGAGCACATTTTTGTGGAAATGCGCTATATAAATGCAGTTTATTTTTTTGTGTGTCTTTCCCTCTGTTGTTTCAGTCTGTCTGTCTGTCTGACTTTTTGCCTGCATGAAATAGCTGTTATTGTAGCGATGTCCTCTATCCATTAATTAATATTCCCCATTTTCTTCTTTTTTTTCATTTAATTATTTTTTTAAAGAACATTACTTAGAGGCTACAATACTTTCTGGGAGGACGTGTCAACTTTTGCAAGCTGTGGGACGAGAGATCGTGTCATTATGTGAGTGTTTTAGCGCCTATAAATGGCAGCTTGCACTGTACGCTTCCCAGTGAGTTGAGATTGTTTCAGAGTGATATCCTGTCTGCTGGGGTAATAGTATTGATTGTGAAGCGCATAGAACTTGCTGTTGAACGGGAAGTCCCGCTATGCAAATGCTATCTATTAATGGGTGGGAAGGTAAAAAAGAATAAATAAATAAATAAATAAATAAATAAAATGTTTTTAAAAAAAGAAAGAAAGAAATTTTAAAAATAAATTAATAATAATAATAATAATAATAATAATAATAATAATAATAATAATAATAATAATATTAATAATTATAATAATAATAATAATAATAATTATAATAATAATAATAATAATAATAATAATAATAATAATAATGATAACAAAATAATAAATTTAAAAAAAACAACTTGGATCGGTAACAGTACCTTTAGAAACAAGGAGATCCTCTTGACATACTGCTCGCGGTGGTCCAGGATAAAGGCCAGCGACATAGCGGTGTCCGTGTCGTTATTGACCGCTGTGACGTCAGCCCCGGCCCGGAGGAGGATGTCCAGTACCCTCAGAGTGTCCGCCTGGGCCTTGAGGAAGGTGATGGAGCGGTCAGTGGCCCAGATTAAGGCCGTAGTCCCGGTGTCATCTCTGTGGTCAATGTCGGCTCCGTGCTGCAAGAGGCACTCGAGAGATTTGGATTTTCCCGATCGGGCGGCGTGCAACAAAGCCGTCTTGCCCATCCTGTCGGGGAGGTTGGGTTTGATGGAGGGGATGTTGAGCAAGTGCTGGAGGCAAGGAAGAGACCCGTTCTTCGCTGCTATCATGAGTGGTGTCCGCCCTTTTGAGTCCGTGCAATTCACGTCCAACCCACAGCGTGTGAGAATCTTAACGCTGTTCAAATCTCCGTTTTCCGCTGCGAAATGTAAGGCCGTGTTCCCCGATTGCTTTTCCCGCCCCGCCAGCCTCGCTCTGTTCTCTAGGAGGTGTCTCATGACGTCGTGGCGTTGTCCTCGAACTGCGGCCAAGATGGCGTCTAGACCGGAGTGGTCTGTGACGTTGACATCCGCACCGGCTGCCAGCAAAATTTTGACGCAATCAAGGTGACCTTCACCTGAAGCGAGCATCAACGCCGTCACTCCTGATTTCGTAGTTCTGCCCAAAGAGCTTCTGTGATTTAGAAGAGCGGTCACACACCTCGCGTGCCCTCTCGCTGAAGCTAACATAAGCGCGGTAACACCGTCGACGTCACCATAATTCACTTTGACGCTCTTCTGCGCCAGAAGGAGAATGAGACAATGAGTGTTTCCGGATTCCGCCGCCAAATGTAAGGCCGTTCTCTCGTCCACGTCTTTGGCGTTCAGTTTGGCGCCGGCTGACAACAGAATCTGCGCACATTCCAGATGGTTCCCCGAAACCGCGAACATCAGAGGCGTCCTCTTTCTCTTGTCCGCGACATTCACGTCTGCGCCGAGAGCTATGAGCGACTGCAGACAGGTGACGCTTCCGGATTCCGCCGCGCATGCGCTGAGCGTTGTCCCTGACGACGGGATGAAGGAGGAGACGAGCTCCGATAATTTCTGAATTCGTCGTGGGGAAGAGGAAGTAGAAGAAGACGAAGAGGGCGTGCTAGTAGTGTGGGTCATCAGGTGATGTTGGAGCTGGGAGCTGTTGTCAAGCTTGATGGCCTCGTACACGTCTCGGAGTGCGTGGTGCCCGTACATTTTCTGTTACGTCAATTGTCAATTACGCCAATTTCAATTACGTTAATTTCAATTACATCAATTGTCAATTACACCAATTTCAATTACGTCAATTCCAGTTACTTCGATTTAAATTAGATCTTCGTCCGTTTCAATTAGATCTACGCCTGTTTCAATTAGATCTAAGTCAAATTCAGTTAGATCCCCGTCAGTTTCAATAACATCTATGTAAATTTCAATTAAGTCAATTTCAATTAAATCCACGTCAATTTCAGTTAGGTCTACGTCAATTTTCAATTCTGTCTATTTCAATTAAATCTACGTTAAGTTCATTTAAATTTAGATCTACTTCAATTTCTATTAGATTTGCGTCAATTTCAAATTCGTCAATTTCAATAAGATTATTAAGATCTATGTCAATTTCAATTAGATCTACGTCAATTTCATTTTCATCAGTTTCCAGTATTTTTGTTTTGTCTCAAAGGTGAGGGCAGGGTGAAGGGGTATGTGGGGGGTGGGTGGTCTGCTTCGGCCGAAATGAGTCATCTACTGTCTGTCTTTGAGGTCTTTCTTCCAGGGTGGGTGGTTGGCGGGTGCTCTGGTATGGTTTGCTTCTTCTCTACTATGAAAAATATATCTTCCTTATCTCCCCTTCTTCTTTTTTGTGTTTGTTACTCTCTTGTAACACCTCTAATCTTCTGGCGCTCATATGAACATATGCAGTTGCGAGCGCCGTAAAACCTCTACTAAAACTAACTTTCTTTCTGGAGTTCTGTGTTCTGCTGTTTGTAGGATCAGGAAGCCTTCTATGGAAGAAATATATAAGATTAATATGTGTGAGTGTGTGTGTGTGTGTGTGTATGTGTGTGAGTGTGTATGAGTGTGTGTGTGAGTGTGTGTTTATGTGTGTGAGTGTGTGTATGTGTGTGTGTGTGTGTGTGTGTGTGTGTGTGCAATT